ATCTTGCACAAATAGTTGCTCTAAGTTCCCGGCACGCTGTAATGGTAATAGTAGTTGTGCTGGAAGTGGTGGTGGTGGTGGTGGTGGTATTAGTAGTAGCAGTAGTACTAGTAGTACTAGTATTCGTATTCTTACTAGTGCCAGTACATAGTGCCAGTGCCTAGTACCTAGTACCTAGTACCTAATGCAGCATCCCATGCCCAGCGCTCTGTTTCAGCAGACCCCTTGGACCATGCATCCTACTGTGAATGTGACCTGTAGTCCTGGAGACTATGCATAAAAAAACACAAACACCAAGACATTCACACTGCTGTGCTGGCTCAACAAGAGCTTCACTAAAGAGCATGTGTCACATCACGATCATGGCTTCACGGTCGGTGATGTCGTATTTCCTTCCACATGCACCACCCAGAGAGATCTGCTTCCTTTCGAAACCCATGAGTCGCCGCAAGGCCCTGCCAAGAAAAGGAACTACGAGCATGCCGTGAGCTCGGAGCCGCATTGACTGAGACTGCTGGCTAACGGAGCTATGTGCGCAAGCTATCCCAAGCTTGATTTGCCTGCCAAGATCTTCCACACCGGCATGCCTGGCATGGCATTGGGCGAGATGGACCTCGTCAGATGAAGGGAAATGTGTCGCAATAATGTTGGACAGGAGTAATATGGAATGGTTGCGAAATATACATTGTGCGCCAACCCGAATCGAAAGACGCGGATGCAGGAGGCAACGAATCCCCACGTCGAATGCAGGCATATGGCGCCGACCTCGCCGGCATGCCGTTGCAATGGCCGACGACAGGTGCGCCGTCACTGTGCAAAGATGGCAAAGTGAGTACACCACAATGGCACCCCCTCCAAAGACTGCTGAGGCGTGGCTGCTGGTGCGAGTGCTATGTCGTCGTCCAATTCAGGGTACACCATTCCAAGCCGGAGCCTGTAGAGTCTCAGACCGGGGTGGTTCGGGTGTTGTCAAATAGGTTGATATGTGTGATTCCGTTTACGAATTCGGCAGGCTCCCGGCTCTGAGCGCCGATGGGTTGGTGGCAGGGGGGGGGGGGGGGGGACGGCTACAAAATGGTGAGTGCCGGATGATTTTTTACGCAAGTTTATTGTGTTGTTGTTGCATCCCGGAAAGCTTCATCCTGCCAGAATGGCAAGCCATTCATGATCCAACGTCTCCGGGAAAGGCCCAAACCTGGCATGGCAGCAAAGGACCGCCGTAAGCCAGACTGCAGGCCAGGCCCGCCAACTGCTCTTGTGATGGCTGTTTTGAGTTTGGAACCTTCCCCGCTTCACCTTGACGCGCCTGTGTGGTCTAACGCTTGCATCCTGAATCCAATGGGTTCTGTCAAGGACCCACGCGGGTCAAACAAACTCCGCTTGGACTTGGCTCGGAGCTGAGAATTGTGCTTTTGCAAAAAGCTACCACAAGAAGCTGCTTATTGTTTTGAAGCTTACAGAGGTTTTCTGGCCACGGATGGCCATTTCGACCGAACGATGTTTGTCGCGAAGCTTTCACGCTGAGCCGAGATTCTACGGGAACATGCCTCAGGTGTGGATTTGCTCAATGCTGGTGTCGCAGGCGGACATGAACCTGCCACTGTGGAGGTGCTCGGTTTCATTCGTCAGCTAGATTTGTGAGGTTCATCATTGCCAGTTGCAGATTGTTTCCACATGTTCGCGCACGCCGTAGAAGCCCTAAGCGGTGAAAGATAGGTTCTTAATGCAGCAGGACTTGGATTGCCGGGGTGTCACCGGGCTTGCCGCATTTGCCAGGTCAGTGCATCATCTCCGGCCGGGGCCTCGATGCCTCGATTCAAGTTCTGAAGTTCGGCATGATCCCAGGCTTGTTGAGCTTACTGTTGTTCAATGTTAGAGTCTAGCCCCCGATCCTAACTTCACAGAGTAGCGCCGAACCAAATTTCAGAGTGCTACAACCGAGAGCTCATCAGAATACGAGAGATGTTTTACCGCCCGCTTATTTGTTTTGGTAGCCTGCTTGCATTTGCTTAGCGGCTTTGGAGCGTTTCCACTGCTTCTAGGATTCGTGGCCGTTTGGCTTTTTTGGCATTTTGGCGGTGGTTTCGTTTGTGCTTCTAGTCTCGCTTGCTTCGCAGTATTTTGGTTCGCATGGCCTTCGAGCAGGGGGCTCCCATGATCTTTTGGTTTCTCGACTTTCTTGTTCTGCTTGTATCTTTGGCCGTGGTTTTGCAAGTTCTGTTGTGGTCTTGATGGTTTCTTCACACGGCGCTGTTTTCGTTATGCTCGTAGGTTGTACGTATAATACCTGCATGAGTTCCACTGCATGCGAAAGACACGATTACATACGCAGAGAAAGACGCAAGACACGACATACGAGAACATCTTCATCTTGCGATGAGATAGTTAGCCCCATGTGACGCCCTCAGTTCATTTTTTGCTCCCATCCGATCAGCATACGTCCCAGTGTGAAATTTCAAACTTGCACAGCTGTCCCCAACTTCAATGCAAGCGTTGCATCAAAAGTACAGTGCGGCACTGCCAATCTTCGTGTATCGTCCCAGCATGGTGCCTGCAAGAAGGTTTGCGCCCTTTCCCAACCCCCTTCGCTTGCTTTTCGCTAAGCATGCTTCTGTAAGATGAATGGTACATGCAATATCATACCACTATATCATATCATTTCGCCTCATATCAAGCGGCATCACAAAGCATCATATAGGATCAAACAGTTTCTATCGCAACATATAGCATCATGCCATGTCAAATCACATTGTTCCGTATCATGCTGATTGAGTTTATGAGGGCACAAACAATATGACATCTGGTATAACGCAGTATGACATAATACAGTACAGTATAACGTTATACAACGTAATATAGTATGACGTAACACAGAAGAATGTAATGGAGCAGGATAGAACAGGCTATACTGGCACCGAACAAATACAACATAACATACTAAACTAGAATATGACATTTTCGCTTCATAAAATAGCCTTATCACGCGTGACGCGTTAAGTTACAGCACAACAGAAATCGCAGAATATCATGTTGTCTAGTTTTTCGTTTGGCAGGTTGTAAACAGGCCCCCCTCCCCCTAATATAAAAGCTGATTTCCGGGAGTTTGGATTTATGTTAGGGGGGTTTCGGCGCATCCGGGTATGAGCCCTAAACCTTGAGCCTTAAAACCCTAAACCTCAAGCCCCAAGCCCTGCGCCCCCGAACCCTAAGCCCTAGAGCCCTGAGCCGTAAACCCGAAAGCCGTAAGCCCTAAACCTTGAGCCCTAAAGCCCTAAACCTTAAGCCCTAAGCCCTTAAACCCTACAGCTCTGCTCCTTTCGGTTTCATTAGTGCTGCTGTAATCTTGGCTCTATTAAAACTGTGAAAAACTGATACAGTCCTAAGCGCCCCCTAATGTTTTTATTTAACTTCCCATTGCGGGCCCGAAACCGCGAAATCCCGGGCCGGGAGGGGGCTCTAGTATCAGACGGAAGCGATTGCATGTCTGAATTTTGGTGGTATGTGTGATATTTCGGTTTAGGGTTTAGAGATCCGCGTGAAACGCCGCATCGCAGGTTTGTGCTTCAAGTTGTGCCACCGCAATCAGGCCTGAGAAGCAACGTGCTTCAGACGTGGCGATGATTCCAAGGTCGCACAGGCAAGATGATCGCACCACCACACCTCCCCATCCCGCCGTTGGTTACAGTTGGCACACGTGAACCCTTGAGGCCTGACCCTGTCAAGCCTGTCATGATTGAGCCCCTACATAAGCAAAAGACATAGTGACACCACCGCAGAAATCCAGTCCCAACCATTTGCGACCTTCCGTCCTGGCGAGCTTCCGGTGTTAAAGAACACAACAGCAAGGTGCACAAACTCGTGGAGCCACCACATCTTTTGCGCACAGCCCGAGCCTTAGTGTTCTGCTCAGTGAATGGATCCGGGAAAAGATGATCGTTGCGGTTCTTCTTGCCATGCACACCTACCTTCCCCAACCGCCCATCGGCAAACGCCGTCGAGCCGCATTCACAAGACGTAGCGCATTCTGTCGTGCGGAAAGAGAAATACATCGTCAAGAACCTTTTTTGCCAGCAGTTGAGATCCAGAGGCATTCAGAGCTCATGATGATCGGAGTTTATTTTCAGCATAGGGGTCGTTCACGATGCTGAGGCACTGGAGTGTACGGAAGATGATCAGGACGACGAGGCCTTGTTTCACAACAGGCTATAAATTGAGGGAAACCAAAAGCTTGTGCCAGAGCAGCTGCTCGTCATGTTTGCGGTAGGCCAGCCAAAGTTGGGTTAATTCATAAATTGTTGATAGACTTGTCTATGCTGCACAGATTCGAGGAGGGGGTATTTGTCGCTCCCCTTGCAGGACGGAATTTGGCCGCTGGCCTGCCTCTTACAGCTAGCCAGGTTTGTCATCGTGGATGCTTTGGAGGGCTCGGTTTGGCAGAGATACTCAGCATGCCTCCTCGTTTGTGCACCACAAACCTTGCACACGTGCAGACCGCGGATCAAGAGAAGCTGAGCAAATTCGGCACTGCTACTTCAGAGACCGCGTGACAAGCAGCTTCGGCCTGCGAGATATTTAGAGACTAGAGGAGGCGAACACGCCGTTTTTGCACAGCTGCCTCCCTTGAATCCCACAGCCGACAGCCGTACCGAGAGCCACGAGTGGGTTTGCAAAGAATGCCTCCTTGTCCAGTGCCATGGCATCCTCCGAGCTGTCATTGCTGCCCCTGAAACCTGGGGCGCGACAAGTTTTCGTGGTTTTTGCGGGTTGTAAGACAAGACAAGGCTGACTGCAGCGCCTAGTTTGTTGATTTGGTTCATTACTTTCGTTCCGCAACACATTGACATGTTGTCACGATTTGTCACACTCGCCTGGTAGAAAGCATCCGATTCGAACTGAGAAGTTTGCCCATGTAGGCCATGTAGGCATGTGTGCACGGTAGTTGCCACACCGAGCTCCCTAATTCTGGCTGCTTGCTTCTCCCACAAAAAACTTGCTGCCCAATGGGGCAGGATCAGCTGTGGCGGCGAATCGCAGATGGCCACTCAGCACCACGAAATCCAGAAAGCTGCGGGTTTGCGGGCAGTTCACGTGACGGAGTGCTTGTTGAGCTTAATTTGCCCATCGCGTTACCCTGGACTGCAAGCTCCAAACATGCCCAGGCACTTGCTGGCATGCATTGCCAGAGACCCAGTCGTTTTGATCAGATATCCCATGCACCACTTGCAGGTTGCATGCATTTTTGTTGTCACAGAGGGTTGTGTCGTCCTGGTTCTATTTGGTGTGGGATGTATCAAGGCAGGACGCCTGGTGCCTTCCAAGCTGTGACATGTGGCCCAAGCAGACCTGCAGGCTCTAGAGCACCTGAGCGTGAGTGGCAAGACAGTCGGAGTCGGAACTGGCCATTCTCAGTGTGTGTGCGTGAGGTATGTGGGCCAATTCCTGCTCACCGCCTGCGAGGATGGTGCAGAGCTGTCAATATTCGGAGAGGGCGCCGAGCAGCTACCTCCGCGACTTGGCAGCCTTGTGTGTCGCAGAATCGCTGGAGATGCTTCACTCATACCACGCACGATAGCCAGTTTCTGCAGTTGTATGACTCAGCCGAGCCGAGGTGCGTGGTGGCAGTGCAATTCCTCGAAGGGTCCCGGGGATCAGTTTGCAGGCATGCCTGGCCCGCTAAATTTGGAATTTGATTTCGCTCCCACTGCAAGCTGCCGTTTCCGTGGCAGATCAAGCTAACTGTTCGAGACTGAATTGAGGATTCCATTGGCAGACTTCGTCGATGCTTCCAAAGGCCCAGGCGAAGTTGCCGTACAGTGTTGACAGACAGCACGAAAGGCCGTGGTGGTCCAGAGGCAGTTTTCGCCTTTCTGCTAAGGTTCGTGGTTCTGTTCGTTGCCGTGTCATTCGTGGTTTGCATCGTGACTCTTGCGTTTGTTTGCATTCACTCCGCTGAAAGAAGCTGTGTCGACAGCTTCACACAAGAGACACCCTCGTCCAGATCAGCTTGCGGATACCACGTATGTTGAGAGTGCTTTGCTGCTACTCCTCATCCACGATGTTTGAAATCTGTAGTTTTAGCAGCGCTAGTGCACACGGCACGAACTCATTGCTCGCAGCAACATCGCTGCCAGTGCTGCTGCCGTTTGCATGGTGTGTCAGATTGACCGTGGCAGTACTGGAGTCATGGACACATGCACGGAGGATCATGGAGGTGTACCTTGAAGCTTGCATCAGCTTGTTGTAGGCACGTCGCCTCACAGCATCTCATACCTAATCAGTGCAGGTCCACCGGCACCTCATGATGACCACAATCACGTATCATTGTTCTACTGCATTCTGGAAGGTGACTGTGGAGACCTTGACGATTGCTCAAGCCCTGCTAGAGCACCGCGCATGCAGCTGACGGATCGACGTGAACCACAGATGTCGGACCGTAGGGTTCTAAAGCGTCGGCAGCTTTCTTGGAACTGAATTCGAAATTGAGTTGCGAGCTCTCAGAGAAGGGTACTGTCAGCCTTCACTCGGCAACTGCAGCACTCGAAGCATGCAAGGTAACAGCTGCAGACATCGTGCGGAACTTGGTTACGGGATGCCTGGTGTGTGCTCGGGCAAAGAGTTGAGAAGCGTTTGTAACGCTTTGTAACATGCTCGATTCCAGCCCTTGGGCATGATGGGAGAATATGGAAGACAATAAATTGATAACACAGCGCTTGCTGGAGAATCTGGGCATCCGAGCATTGCTCCTGCCCAGTCCGTTCGGCTCTACACGCGAAGACCGCGTGGACGCCGAGCAGCTGTGGCACGAGCGCTGATGGCAATCGGAGTCCAGGCCAGGCTTGGCCGCTTCGCCGCTACAACCGCAAGTGCTCAGCGATTTCGGTGCTCAGTGCTACTACTTGATGTTGAAACATGATAGTGAGTGCGAAAATCTATGCAACCGTGACGTCGAGAAGGGTGAGCAACGTTTCCATGGCCAGCAGGTGGATTCGGCGGCTATCAGCAGCCAGCACGAAGACTCAGAACAAGGCATGCTGGAGGCTTGAGTATAGAGATCTCAAACTATTCTGTCCACATTCTTCATTGTTGAATGACATGAAGACTGCCATCGGCGGCAATCCGAGGCCAGAGCTGCTACCTTGGTGGGCCATCTTTGATGAGGCGGAGACTTTCCAGCCAGGGCGCCTCGCCTACCCTGGCAGTGTTGTGTTGCTAGAGAGCGTAACTTCCCCGCCTCACAAAAGGACGCGGTTGCGAGTTGTTCATCGTGTGGCTTAAGGTAACTGCTACTCAGAGTCAGAGACTATGGTGAGGCTTTGCACCTCTCGCCGCCGCGCAGTTCGCTATCGCTTGTCACCCAAGGCGGTGGAAGCTTTTTGGCAGGTTACAACCATGCAAGCTGACCTGACACGAGCCCACAGGTCCGTTCGACCTCTCAATGCAACTGTAAACATCTTCTAACAGGCTAGCAGGGTGATTGCTAGACGTGTACCTGTACCCCCCATTGCAGGTCCAGTAGGTTTGCTGCAGAATCGCTAACTACCGTGGCCGTTACGACTCAAGGTCGGCAAGTGAAGCAAATTGTCAGTTTGCCGAGTCGTCGGGATTTGATTGATTCGCCGATTAGTTCGTCATGGGCATAGTAGGTTCATTACTTGCTACTGCTACTAAAAGGCTTGATCTTGTATTGGATCGGGCATGGCTCTGCTGTTAGGTTCCATCACAGACATTCTCAGTAAGAGTCCCGACTGCTGAATACATGCCTCAGCGCAACTCCACCCTGCATCAGGGATTTGAGGCGGATCCCGTGGATTGATGAACCCAACATGAAATCATCAATCTGCATAGTACGGTGGCAGTGTGTCAGAAACTCAGCTGCCTGCCATGGAAAGCTCGCGGAGTCGCTTGCCACTGGTTGGCACGGGGCTCTAGACCAGGGATGGCACGTGCCTGATCCGCATAGCATGGGCATTGCTTGACATATTGAAGAACTCGTTGCCAGAGAGCTGAACTGTTGTTCGTTCCTGGTTCCTCTTTGGGATCAACTGTTTCTGTGCTCATCATTTCGACACCGCATGCAAGCGTCACAGACATCAGCAGACCCAGATGCAGCAAACAGGCATCAATGACGCGGCGATGGCTTCCTCTATGTCTCCCAAGTGCTGCCCCTACGGATTCAAGGGCAGAGTGTGTAAACCGATTGGGTCTGGGGTCAGGGCTCTTACTTGACGGAATCCTGGTCATGACACCGATGCAGCCAGGAAGACAAGCTCGAGGTCACTCCGACGCTCACCCTCCATGGATTTCGATGAGCGCTTGCCGCATTATTGGGTTTGCTGCCCCACTGAATCGTTTCGTGCACTTGGTTTGGGTGTCTCACTGCTAACGGGGAAGCCGGGATGCGTCAACCTACAGACTCTCAGGAGCTGCATCCTCACATGATGTATGGGGCGCTCATGTCCTTCCTGGATTCTTTGTATCGCTCCAGCTGGGATGTGGTGCCATCTGTCGTGTCTCTTGGTGGCGCAGTTTCAGAGCTCACACCAGCAGGGCATCGTAGTCAATTGTCAAGGTCCGCAAGGGTGGTGGCACTGGCACTGTTGATTCCAGCTCCTCGGAATTCAGAGATCAATTAAGTTGCCGTTTACGGTACATGCCAGACATGCAGAAGCTGCAACCATGTCAGACAAGTTTCGTTCTGCCGGCAGAGTTGCACCCACCAGGCAATGTTCATCGTGTTCCCGCTGATTGTTTTGGAGCGCATCGTGGAGATCACAACGGTTTTAATTGCCCTGGCCTGAGTCTTCGACTGCGCGACAGAGTGCTGGGGCCGAAGCGATGTGTCCCGCGCCACGAGAGACCTAAGACACTGCTAGATGGTTTGGCCTCACCTCGGTTTGGGTGGTTATGCGCATGATCCGGGCTGGCCACGTTCAGCTTTCTGATTCTAGACGAACTACATTGACTGGAGGTTTTGAGAATCCCCAGTTGGGACTTTTGAATCAAGCTTCAGTTGAGGGCATGTTGTCATAGTGTATCATGGCTTGTCATGGTAAGGACCCACATGGCACTGTGAATAGAACAACTACTCGTTCGTGCTTCAGGTCCTGGCAGAGGCATCATTTTTCCTATGGCTGCGCAGACTGCGCTCTCGCCTCAATTTGGTGAGGCCAATGAGTCAGAGGCTGCTGCCTGTCCAGCCGCATGCTTCTTGGCACCCATGTTTACATCTCTGCATACCATACTGCGTATATTGCAATAGTGGTACTGGTGCTGATGCTAGTACTGGTACAGTATGGTAGTGGTGGTAGCAGCAGTAGCAGTAGCAGTAGCAGTCAGTGTTAGTAGTAGTCGTCGTCGTCGTAGTGGTAGTAGTACTACTTGCACTACTGCTTCTACTTTTACTTCTACTTCTACTACTACTTACTACTACTACTTACTACTACTACTTACTACTACTTACTACTACTTACTACTACTTACTACTACTACATACTACTACTACTACTACTACTACTACTGAAAAAACTACTACTACTACTACTACTATCTCCTACTACTATCTACTACTACTATCTACTACTAACTACTACTACTATCTACTACTAACTACTACTAACTACTACTAACTACTACTACTACTACTCCTCCTCCTCCTCCTGCTGCTGCTACTACTACTACTACTACTACTACTACTGCCAGTAGCAGTAGAGCTGCATACACTGTTTTGGTCTATGGTAGCTCCGAAGCAGCGTGTATTTGGCTAGTCTGCAAGATCTTGTAAGCAGTGTGCCCTAATACCATACCTGTTGCGACAGTCCTTGCTCCAGCATCGCGAGCTGAATGTCGGAAAGAACATTGCGTCTACAACAGTCGGTTATCCCCAGACGTCGAATCGCACACAGTTGGACAGGCTTTGGCTGATTCGGTTCCTTCAACCTGGACAGAATTGCTGGGATAATCTTACTGAGTCCAGTTTTTGCAGTGCTGAGGATGTTTTCGAGCGCACACTTGCCCGCATCGACCAATGCGCCACATGGCCGATTGGACGAACTCCAACGGACTGCTGGATGCCACTCCTGTCGGGGGCACTTCACTGGGTGAGTTCATTGCTGCAGAACGGTTTGGTGGAGTGATTCGCTGCATGCTGAGTGCGACCTCGAATGCAGTCCCCGAGCTCCTGAGAGGAGTGGTTGGAGGGCTGGTTCATGAAGACTCCCATATCGCAAATCAAGCGCGGCAATGCCGAAGAGTTCCTGGGCTGCCCGGGCTGTTGCGCATGGCACAGAGGGCATCAAAGCAAGCTGTACCTGTTTGTGACATCGACTGGCAGAGGGTGAACTTGGGTCCTTGCCAAAAGGTTCTTCGCCTGGGCATTCTTCAACAAATATCCTTCAGAGCTCAAGGAAGAGGAAATGAGTGAGATGAAAGCGATGCTGCAGGACTTAGGGCAAGTTGAAGTTGTGCGCTCGTGTTTGTTATTCTGCAGGGCAGTGCTGATGGAAAACAGTCCATTCCAATCTGAAGAGGCCCCTTTGCCCTGTGCTTGCGTGCCCCTAGGACAACTGTTCGGAATCCTTTCGCACGACATATACACTGTGGGGATGGTTCTCCCTGCGCTCAGTTGAATCAAACACTCTTGTAAAGCCGGGGCAGAAGCGCCTCGGCACTGTCGGGCCCGGGCGAGGGGCCGAACGACTCCTGTCGGCGAACGGCCTGCGACCGTCGATCCAGAACATGCAGGCCCAACAGCCGAGTCGAAGACGAACTCCAGACCTGGTTACTTGAAGCGCTGATCGCATGATTTCTCTCCGGTGCTCTCCTGCAACTGTTCCTGAGGGGAGTCTTTTGGTTCCCGTATCCGCGTAGGCTCAAAACAAGCCCTGACAGCTGTCCATTGGCTGCCGGCAGCCTTTCTTCAGGGAGATAATGATGCCCGTGACAGCAGCATATAGGTTCAGGAAGCACAAGTTGACTGTGGAAGCTTGTTTCTGCCACCGAGTGCGAGGAGTGCGAGCGCCGATATGGATGGGAATTAGCAGGAGGCACGATTTGGTGACAGAAGATGTTCACTCAGTGGCTCAGCATACGGCACTGTTGTTGCTTGAGGCTACTCTACAGGCGTCCGGCCGATGCGCATCAACTTCGACAGGATCCAGGCTTCTCGCGGTAAGTTCTTGAAGTTATAGTGAGTTCTAGACAAGACACACGGGACGCGTTCCAGCTTAGGTGGCGGTTGCTGCTGGCGAGTTTGGGTAATTTCGGTTCACACGGATGGTGGGACGGCCGCTGCGTACCTGTGCAGGCCTGGTATCATCCTTTGTGGTACTACGCCGCTTGGTTTGCAGTCTGTCAAGCTTGCGCAAGCCGTCATGGTAGCAGTGGGAGAAAGTGCACGTTTCAGTTTGACTCGGCTTGATCTCAGAATGCTTGTTGCCGATGCCCCGAGCAGGGACAGACATGCAAAGATCGACGAGTTGAGGCTGGTATTCTCGGGCTTCGACTAGCTACTCGCTCCACCATGCAATTGTCACCAGGAAGCATATTTCTGGTCGAGAGAAATTTCGATTATAGTCGTTGATGCAAGGCCTGAAAAAGCCAGCTGCAAAATCTTGTGATTGCAGGCTTGTTTGCTCGCAGGTGCGGCAGGCATCGAAGTACATAGGCAATGTCCAGGCATGTCGCTGTACCCCGTACCACATGACTGTTGTGTGCCTCGCGGCATCCACAAACGACCCTCAGCTATAAAGCCACACAACTGCTTACGGAACACATATTGAGGCGATACTCGATGTCCCTGTCCAGGCCATCTGTAGCAACTGCAGCACTAGCACGCTCAGGATGGGCTTTACCTACCATGGTGGTGAAGCATCAGGCCCCGACGCGATTCGTGAGCTGCTATTCACTTCTGCGGGCACGAGCCCTCTGTACACGCCTGCGGCTCAGGTGGTCTTTCTTACTTCCACTGCCCTCCTCCAGCTCGTCCCGGGTACCTTGGTGTTTTGAGCCATAGGCCGACATTGGTGGTGCTTCTCTGGGAAGGGCATGAGACTGCAAACTGCGGCTTACGCCTAGGCAACTCCTGGAGGTTGGGAAGGTGGTGGAGCCGAGCCGGGCCTTGCCGGTGCTTTGCATGCAGCTGGGAGATCCCCCTTCGATATCAGCCTATGAAATGGCTAGGCTAGCCCCTCTATGAAATGGGTTTGGTCATTTCATAGAGGGTCATTTCATAGTGGGGGGTTGGCCTGCCGAGGTAGCCCGGGCCATTTTATAGAAACGTAGCTCTGGAACATGATGCCGGAAGATTGCTAATGTGGAGGTAGCCCGGGCCATTTCATAGTAATTCTTGGGTTTGCGGAAGGGAGGTAGCCCGGGTCATTTTATAGTGCGAAGCTCCGTCTCCAAAAAAATATAACAAAAAAAGGAAAAATAAAAAAATAATTAATAATAATAAAAGAAGAAAAGAAAAAAGAAGGCCTAAAAAAAATACAACAAAAGAAGAAAAACATAAAAATAAAGATAAAAAGAAAATAATAAATAAAAAAGAAGAAAATTAAAAACAAAAACAAAAAGAAGAAGGCCTGTTCGAGAGGCCAACAGGATGGCCTTTCCTACAGAGCTGCAGAGCCTTGTCTTTTGTCCTGGCTTGGTTTTGTTCCGGACTGGGGCTTCTTTGGATCTGCGTGTGGCCCCCTTGCCCGTTTGGAAGTACCTGAGGGGGAACGGGTTGTGGTGTGCGAGTGGGCCAGCTGTTTGTGCATGATTAAGGCAACCCCATAAACCCTGAAGCCACTGACATCCACTAACCTGAAAGCGCAATCCTGAACTGCAAGCCTGAGGCGGAAAACCTGAAGCCACCAAACACGTACACCATCCTACACACTCTACCGCTCGGCAGCTCTAGACTTTTGAGGGACATCTAATTAAAATCGTGCAGATTCTGCGGAAACGTTGCTGCGGCATACTGCGGCAGGCCTGCGAAAGCTTCCGGTTTTTCCAATTTTTTTCCATTTTTTTTTTTATCGCGCGCCTTTTCGCCTGTCGTCCGCGGTCCCAGTGCACGAGTACAACTACCTGATTTCGCGGTCAGCGAAATCTTCCGGTTTTCCCAAAATATTCGTGATTTCGTGATTTCGCTTAATCGCCGTCGCGACCGAAACATACCTAAACCATCGGAAACCCTCTCGTCTAGGGCCTGTATCCCGAAACCGTGTGTGCACACACCGGCGTGACTGGCGACGCTGACTCTGCGACAATCCCGGACCGGAGGTTACCCAGGCCATTTCATAGTAATTTCTGGTGTTGCGCGGCGAAGGTTACCCAGGCCATTTTATAGAGCTGCTTGGGTGTCCGCTGGCGTCCAGAGGGATATCCAGTCAATGTAGCCCGGGCCATTTCATAGTAATTCCATGCCTGCGTCGGGAAAGGTCGCCCGTGAGCCCGGGCCATTTCATAGACCACTTTGTCTATAAAATGACTCTGCCAACCTACCCCTGTATATTGAAGGGGGATGCTGGGAGGATCTCGTAGAGAACGGTGAAAGTTGCCTTTGCACAACGATACTGATGAGCGCTTCATTCCGTCTCAGCAAACTGGAGGTTGTGCTGGTGCACGGCATCGTGCTCAGGGGTTAGATGTGATACGTGCTCGCGGCGCTGACGCAGAACAACTTCGGCAATGGGACCTTGAGCTGTGGTTAAGACTCCCGTGAGCTTGCATCCAGAAAGTTGCCTGCAGGTCTGGGCATCGGCATTGCACCTTATGTTCAGTTCATCCGTCCGGAGCTCGAGTTGTTTTTGTCGATGGCCCGTTGCAACGCTGCTGTCAAGAAAAAGATGGAGACCAGGTCTCAATTATCATTCACATCAACTTGCTGTGTCACACTGGGCATGTGCTGCAGCTGCAGCCTATAATTTATGAATAGTAATAATCACCCGTAAGCAAAAAGGCAGCCGCATGAGGGAAGGCCATTCCAGGCAAAGGGCAAGCACCGAGGTCAGCTCTCTGCTTTGCGTGAGTGCTTTGCCCCGGTCTGAGCTTTCCGGGATCGTGCCAACATCATGCAACATCATATCAGCGTTTCCAACGCTTGGGCAACTCCGGAGCGCGACAGCATCCCACTGCAAATTCCTGCGACATGCAAGATGCTTCCATCATGGAGCTCAGGTCATTGAGCTGCCAGAGATATCCCAGGCGGAACGCTTTGTTTGTGTCGGCATGCTGTGACGACTGGATAGCACCGCCGGCAAGGGGGCACACGAAGAAACAATGGAAACCCCCCCCCGGCATCATTTCCTCCCAGATAAGAAAAATGAAATGGCACACCATGTCAGTCATCGTTGTTACTTCCTTGCGCCCTCCTCCTAGTAATGACGGACTGGGCTTTGGCACCCTGTCAATGCCGACCCCGCCCACCCACCCGCGCCAGTCCCCCTCCTCGCCTCAGAAATACCTGCTCATACTGTCGCCGTCGTCCTAGCCGCTCACTTTCGCATCGCCCAACCCTCGCTGCCGGAGCAACAGAATCTTACTTAGCTGCTCACTTGCACCCGGGGCATCCTGGGCCTGGTAGTTGCACATGCAATAGTGCCGTATACAGGCAGTCGGAAATTGAAAGCCTCGCCCAAGGCATGTTGTGAAAGCGTGCTGCCACCGGAGGCCTGCAGGTCTTCTGTTATGTCCCGAACGCTGTGTGCAACGGAGTCGTCGGTAAGCTTGTTTGTGCAGAGCATGGTGCTTCAGCCGTAGATGCAAGCGGACCAAAGCTCGCAGGTACTCATTTCATGGTTGGCTTGGGCTTAGAGTTGAGTCGTAGATCAGCTGCCAGATCAGGCTACTTACCGAAGAAGCCGCGATCCCGGCCATTGCGCTTTGCTTTCAGGTGATGGCCGAGGCACTTTCGGCAATGCTGCAGGCGCACGGTCACCGCCAGGCCCAGAACGTGGGGTTATTCCTTTCGAGAAGTCCTTGACCAGAGTGTTTGTGCAGAAGTGCAGAACCTGGAAAACGAGGCCACTGGTCACTGGTCTATGACAGCACTTCGCGAGACATCAGAAGATAGCCTTGTGGCTACTTCGTTGTTAACCGGCTGCGTTGCTGCAGGCGATCTTCATTTCACATTCTTACGGCACCTTCGTGATGAGCTGGGTGCTCCAGTTCAGGAGAGGTGTGGGGGAAAACGGCACAAGTGCTGCACGCAAGGCATTCAGGTCGTGATTGTGCAGAATGATCGGCAACCACGAAAGTTGGCGGCCTGTCGTACCAGCCAGGAGGGACTTCGTTGCAAAGGCAGTTTTGCTGGATCCAGTGGCGTTGCTTCTTGCGCAGCCGGACGTCGCTTACAACTTCCTGTACAGGCTGGTGGATCTGCATCGCAGTGTCACGTAGAGTCACCCACTATCGTTGGTTGATGTTGGTGGGATGAATCGAAGGGCCATCAAAGCGGTGTTGTCATGTGCTTCTGATCTTTCTTGGTGCTGCCCTCCTTCCAAAGACTTCGGACTGCCAAACACACGTACACCCGTGCCGCTTCAGGCAGCCTGATCAGCCGATGCTAATGTTTGCGGCGCATTTTGCTTCTTGGCTTGCTTCTAACATGGTACATTGAGTACATCCCAAATCATGCCAAGCTAGATAGGCAAGGCTGGTCCCGTTTGGAACTTGAGAATTTGACAGGACACGGTGGTTTCTTTGTTGGAGTTGTTAAGACATCGCTCAACCGCGACTGTTGCAGCGTTAAACCGGTGGAAACATCTCTGTTTTGTTTTTTCGCCACGATCCTCGAAGACGGACTTTGAGCACTCTATTTCACGATGCACAAAAGCGCACGATTGAGAGTGCCGTCAGGGGCCAAACGGGCCCGATGCCTACACCGGTCATTTCCAGAACCTTCGCATGTTGACTAGCGACAACACTCGCAGTTTAATTCACACCTGAGCGGAAGGAAATAATTAAAGAAGCCTACCAGCTGTCCAGGAGCTTCGTAGGTCGTAAATCTACTGACCCAAAGTCCAACGCTGAAAGGAGCACGACGTGGACCACCCTATTTTTCAGGCATGTACAGCCGGGTGCCAAGCGCAACGCCACACTCGCAGTGGCCTTCCTAGCTAAAACGGTGCTCAAGAGCCTTGTGGCGTTCAGCAGGTGGAACGAACCCATGGCCCGAGAGCCTTTCAGTCAAATGCTAGGACAGCGGGAACTCTTGAGCTGGACAGCAAGCGACACTTCAGTAACAGGAGCAACAGGAGCAATCCATCGCAGAGCACTCGTGGCCCAAAAGAGTGCGAGCGGCCTGCGCGGGGGCTCCCTTCGGGAGCCGAGCGAAGGAGGATGGAGCAGGAAGAGCTTCAACATGCCTGTCGGAAGCATGAAAGCCGTGCCTGGTGGACACCAAGACATGCTTGAGGGCTGCAGTGAGCACAGATTGTCAGAAAGCACGACTGCAACTTTCATTGCAGTTTTGCATGAAATGCATTAAGGACCTGAAAGTTTAAACAGTAACCCAATTCAACGATGATCAGAGCGCCGTGCAACCGCACCGTGGTGTAGTATGGAATCAGATTTAATTACCTGCCCGCTGCGCGGTCCACCAGAATCAACGGAAGCAAGAGTCTGTCAGTTTGACTGTCAACGCTGCTGACAGTCTTAGAGCTGGCGGCAACGTCACGCCAGGTCAGATGGGAGCTCTTTTCAGCCCACGTGTTAATGCGCAGCCTACCCAGCGAGCTTTCTCGAGCAGCAGTCTCTTTCGGAGTGGCCTAGCGGTCCTTGATGTTGCCTTCAGTCTCCTTTGACCTCGCCTATACGACGGTGACATCATGTGAGGTCACTTCTACTGGCACCACAACGTGCTTTGGAAAGAGGACTTGCCTCCCAACTCGCTGGTGGCTGCTTGGTCCAACATTGTATTCAATCTCAACACACCGCAGCCCAATCGACGGTAAAGAAATGAGGTGCTCGATGAGCAGGGTTGCACACTGAAGTTGCTCCAATGCCAAGGTGCTTTCCAGCCATGATGACATTTGCACCTCGGTTGGCTTTGGCACCGACAGGGAGATGAGAGAGGATGAGAGGCAGGTGCTCAGAATGCCTCGGACCGGCGGGGTGAGGCCTGAAAAAAAGAAGTTCTGAGTGGTTCAGCGCAGAGGTCTGCTTGTAGCAAGGACACGAGGCAGAGTCGAGGAGCGCCCTTGCCATGAGAACGCGCATCGAGGGGGGAGGGGATGCGAGGCCCGGAGAAAGGAAGGGGGGCAGAACGGGGATTCACAGAAGCAAGGACTGTATGGCACCATGATGGCCATGGTGAATCGAGTCATCTCTTGTCGAACTGCCGGTGAATGAGGGGGAGGTTCACTAAACGGTTGTCCGTCTTTTGAGTGACCAGACGAGCGAAAAGAGTGCAAAAACTTGGGCGCTGATGGTCAGCAAGCCAGAGATAGCCAGAGTATGGTTGTCACAGACGCGCGGAAGTAAGACCGGCCACACCCCCCACCAGTGTCTCGTTTTACTGAAGATGGGCAGCTGCACCTCTGTATCACTAAGGGACGAGTTCCAGCCTCTCAACCGTCCCATGACTCTGAGGCAACTCGCACTATGTGCGCCGCTATCTGGAGGACCACCAGCGTCAAGAAGACGCTGCGAAGTCGAAGCTGAGAGCTTAGAGAGCTGGCGCAAGCTCAGTCTGAAATCTGGTCAATTGAGTAGACATAAGCAGGTTTTCGTTCAACACGTCTCCTAAACATATCAAGCTACTGTAGGAGCACATTGGTGATGTCTAGGCCCAGGCGCTTATCTTGAGAACCGAGGCTGCAAGTGCTGTGGCTTGACGGCTTTTTCCACGGTGACTCGGATTCTGAAAGCCAGGATTGGCCCGGAGCGCCCGGCCGGATCTCCCATCGTAGGACTTCCGTGCTATGACGCAGCTCCCCGATAGCTGTGACGCTTCCCCGGCCCAACGCCACCGACCTTGGTCGAAGGATCCGGCAAATTCCGACAAGGTAGGTTTGAACGTGCCTTTGCGTGGCTTTTGCAATTGCAGCAGACCCTTTCTTCTTCAGCGCAGCAAGCGGATCGAGACTCGAAAGGACCGGCTACGTGGTGTCAGAAGTTAGAAGCGCTGCGGCCGCATGTTTCGCCGTCAGGACGGCTCCTCCTACAAGGAACCATATACCACTTATAGTTTCAATACTTAACGTCTAGCAAGCTAGCAGGCCCGAGGAACTGGGACCCACCGGAACCTTGCACTCATCAGGAGATAGATAGAAACCATGGCACGAAACGACTGTCCGATGTTCCGCTGAGTCGTGTTGACTAGGATCTAGAAGACGAAAAGCAGCAAGTAAAGGAACAACAACAGCAGTAGCAGCAATGATGACAACATGACTGACGACACGAGAAAGACGACGGCAACTGCCGCGACGCTAGGAAAACAGCGCTCCTCTTTGTGACCGGGGCGCCCTGAAGGAAGTCTCTTTATCATACTTTTCTTGGGAGGCTTCTGCGAGCTGATGTACATGGGGAAGCTATATGCTCGTGTGACTCGTATGCTAGCGCAGATAATAGATGGAACCTGATACTGCAACAGCTGCTTGCAACCTGGTCCACCCAGGTGGGATCCTTCTGAGCCCAGCGGCGCAGACACAAGTCCTCGAGTTGATCTGAGTTGCGTCGAAGAGAGTCAGCGATAGATATTTTCCACACAAGATGATGAATGTCCTGGTAGGGTTCAGTCATCACCTGTTGTTCAAGAATGCTCGGCGCGAGACTTCCCGGAAGCACTCAGACTTGCGAACCCACCGGGGCTGAGGAGCCCCAGAAAGCTGGACGATAGTGACCCAGGTTATTTGCTTCTTGAATTAAATTGGCATGCTTCTCCAAAGGAGCTTAAAAAAGCTCATTGTGAGACAATGCTGTGCGCAAACGGCAGTTTGAGCTTTTGGCGAAGTCATGGCAACGTCTTGAACCGAGGGCAAAAGCTGTCAAGACTGTGAGGCATTCTGCGCTTAGAATCAGTTGGACATCTGACAGGCATATACAGGCATGTAGATATCCACTGAAGCAGCCCACGGATCTCTCCAATGCCTGGACTCAAGTTTTTCCAACACGATTGGCTTTGCCACTGCGCTCGCACTCTCCAGCCCAGCCAAGATGCAAAATTTCGCAGGCGGAAGGCAGCGCTGTCCCTCCCCAGCTGCTGGACGCCGTCACTTGGCGCGTCGAAAACTTCGATATGAAAGTTTCTCAGTTAACGTACTTTCGTTTCCATTAAACAGGGTTGTCTTGTGGAGATGCTGGCTCTCAGCTGCACAATGATCACGAAAGCTCTCCCCAGGGA